CCGACTGCGGCAAGAGCTTTGCGGACCCTTCTGTGTTCCGCAAGCACCGGCGCACGCACGCCGGCCTTCGGCCCTATGGCTGCGAGCGCTGCGGCAAGGCCTATGCCGAGCTCAAGGACCTGCGCAACCACGAGCGGTGAGGGCGGTGAGGGGGTGGGAAGAGCAGGTGTGGGTGGTGGGAGGCAGCAGGGGCTGCTCTGTGACCGGTGTGGCCTGGGCTTGGGTCTGAAGGAGCAGAATGAGCCAATGGGAAGGTGAGTGGGAGGGAGCTATGGGTGGTGGTAAGCAGCACATGGGGAGCTGGTGCTCCCGGATTGGTCGGGTTGGTTGGTCGGTGGACCGGACATGAGGGGGCGGGGCAGACTGATTTGGGATGGGGCCCTGGAGGATGCAAGTGGGGTCTGATAGGCCTGGGTTCCTGGACATCAGGAAAGGGGCAGGGCTTGAAGTTGGGTCACTCATAGGGTCTCCGGTAGAGCACAGGATCTGTGAATGGGACCTGGTAAGTCTAGGGCTTTGGGTGCAGAGAGGGGTCTTTTCTGGGATCTAGATACCCCAACTGAAGGTTTCTCACTCTGGGGTACAGCTCTGGTCTTAGGGGGTTGGGCCAAGGCCCCCTGGATGTTAGGGCCTCCTAACTAACCGTGCAGACGGCAGCAGGGTCAGGTGATGGGCCTGCCACCTTCATGCCGTCCCCACACCCCCACAGGTCCCACACCGGAGAGCGCCCCTTCCTCTGCTCCGAATGCGGGAAAAGCTTCTCGCGGTCATCCTCGCTCACGTGCCACCAGCGCATCCACGCAGCACAGAAGCCCTATCGCTGCCCCGCCTGTGGCAAGGGCTTCACTCAGCTCAGCTCCTACCAGAGCCACGAGCGCACGCACTCTGGCGAGAAGCCCTTCCTGTGCCCCCGCTGCGGTCGCATGTTCTCTGACCCCTCGAGCTTTCGGCGCCACCAACGGGCACACGAGGGCGTGAAGCCTTACCGCTGCGAGAAGTGTGGCAAGGACTTCCGGCAGCCGGCGGACCTGGCCATGCACCGGAGGGTGCACACCGGCGACCGGCCGTTCAAGTGCCTGCAGTGTGACAAGACGTTCGTAGCTTCCTGGGACCTTAAGCGCCATGCGCTGGTGCACTCGGGCCAGCGGCCCTTCCGCTGCGAGGAGTGCGGACGAGCCTTCGCCGAGAGAGCCAGCCTCACCAAGCACAGCCGAGTGCACTCGGGTGAGCGCCCCTTCCACTGTAACGCCTGCGGGAAGTCCTTTGTGGTGTCCTCCAGCCTGCGGAAGCACGAGCGGACCCATCGAAGTAGCGAGGCCACCGGGGCTCCCGCACCGCAGGAGCTGGTCGTGGGCCTCGCACTGCCCGTCAGCGTGGCAGGCGAGGGCTCAGTGGCCCCCGCGGCAGGTGCAGGGCTCGGGGACCCTCCAGCAGGGCTGCTAGGGCTGCCCCCAGAATCAGGCGGTGTGATGGCCACCCAATGGCAAGTGGTGGGCATGACGGTGGAGCACGTGGAGTGCCAAGAAGCTGGGGTGGGGGAGGCTCCTGGTCCCTTGGAGGGGACAGGCGAGGCGGGGGGTGAGGAGGTGGACGAGAAGCCTCCGCAGTTTGCGTGCCGGGAGTGCAAGGAGACGTTCTCCACGCTGACGTTGCAGCGAAGGCATGAGCGCTCACACCCGGAGCTCCGGCCCTTTCCCTGCACCCAGTGTGGCAAGAGCTTTTCAGACCGGGCTGGGCTGCGCAAACACAGCCGCACACACAGCTCTGTGCGCCCCTACACCTGCCCCCACTGCCCCAAGGCCTTCTTGAGTGCCAGCGACCTACGAAAGCACGAACGCACCCACCCTGTGCCCATGGAGACCCCCACACCTCTCGAGCCCCTTGTGGCTTTGCTAGGAATGCCTGAAGAGGGGCCAGCCTGAGGCCCATGGCCCTTCCCTCTGAACTCCCGGGAGTTCAGCCCCCACAGGGTGCCTCCCGAACCTCCCTTTGCCCCAGCTTACTCTTCTAGACTCCACATCCCTGCCCCCCAGGTGGCCAGCTTACCTTCCCTACAAAGAGATCTGGGGACAGTGGAGGCGGGCACCTGCTGTTCAGAGACATGGCTCTGTGAGTAACACATTAAAGCATTCACTTTGACCCTGGGTTGTCTCCTGTGTTCTAGTTGGGGGTTCGGAAGGGAATTTGGGCATTAGATAAGGTTCATTGCAGATTCCTAGATTGACAGATTAGAAGCTAGAAGGGTCTTTGGGTGCATTTTTTTCTAAGTATGTTTTAGAATGCCTTGTGACGAAGGGTTTCATGGCCCAGTAAGTACAGGAAATTCCCTGTGCCTTTCTTGGGGATTCTTGATCAAAAGTGTGTTAAAGTCATTAATATGTCCCGCAATGAACAAATCTATTTAGCTTTGTTTATCCCATATTTATATAACCATGGAAACCTTTTTCAGAGTAGTTCTCCTTCTATCCTTTTTACAGAGAATAAACTGAGGCCCAAATTAGTATATTCCTTATACACTGCAGTAACAAATTGGAAGATATACTTGAAAAAAAGGGGGTCCCCTTCACAATTACAATACTCATAAACTACAAAGTAAGAAGCCTCACAGGAAACATGCAAAGCCTATATGAAGAAAATGCTCTCTCCAGAAGGATATAAGACATACCATGTACCTAAATGGGAAGACATTAAAAGATGTTGGCCCTAGTCAGTTTGGCTCAGTGGATATAGCATCAGCCTGTGGACCGAAGGGTCCCTGGTTCAATTCTGGTCAAGGACACATGCCTTGGTTGCAGGCTCCTTTCTGGCCCGGGCCCTCGTTGGGGCACATGCAGGAGACAACCAACCGATGTGTTTCTCTCACATTGATATTTCTCTATGTCTTTCCCTCTCCCTTCCACTCTCTAAAAAAAATCTATGGAAAGATATCCTTGGGTGAGGATAAAAAAAAAAAAAAGATGTTGGATTCTCCCCAGCTTAATGCTTAAATTCATTGCTATCCAAAAAGGGTTCTTGCCGAAACCGGTTTGGCTCAGTGGATAGAGCGTCGACCTGCGGACTGAAAGGTCCCAGGTTCGATTCCGGTCAAGGGCATGTACCTGGGTTGCGGGCACATCCCAGTAGGAGGTGTGTAGGAGGTGGCTGATCGATGTTTCTCTCTAATCGATGTTTCTAACTCTCTATCTCTCTCCCTTCCTTTCTGTAAAAAAAAAAAAAAAAAAAAAAAAAAAAGGGTTCTTAACAGAACTTGAAAATCCAAAGTTCCTATGCAATACATTTTTAAAAAACAGTGGAGGTGATGTGTTTACATACTAGATAATCAGACACCAAAGCACTGGAGTAAAAACAGTATCGGCACAAGAATAAATTAGTGGAGTGGGGGAGAGGGTTCAGAAACAGCCCTAACTATTTCTGGAAATTTAGTTTGTGATAATTTAGTTTGTCATTTCTAGATTATTCAAATTGGTGGGAAAAGATAGGCTGTTAAATAGCTTTACAGTTATATCTGTACTCTGAAAGGTTATACATCTTTCTTTTAAAAATATATTTTATTGATTTTTTTTTTTTTTTTTACAGAGAGGAAGGGAGAGGGATAGGGAGTTAGAAACATCGATGAGAGAAACATCGATCAGCTGCCTCCTGCACACCTACTACTGGGGATGTGCCCGCAACCAAGGTACATGCCCTTGACTGGAATCGAACCCGAGACCCTTTAGTCTGCAGGCTGACGCTCTATCCACTGAGCCAAACTGGTTAGGGCTACACATCTTTCTAAGCAATTTTTCAAAGACCAAAATAAATAAAAATGAGGCTTCACATTTAGTGTAACTTGGTACAGCCTGTTGGGAAAATGATTTGATTATATTTATAAAAAAGTTAAATGGAGCCCTAGCCGGTTTTGCTCATTGGATAGAGCATCGGCCTGCGGACTGAAGGGTCCCGGGTTCGATTCCGGTCAAGGGCATGTACCTTGGTTGCAGGCACATCCCCACTAGGGGGTGTGCAGGAGGCAGCTGATCGATGCTTCTCTCTCATAGATGTTTCTAACTCTCTATCCCTCTCCCTTCCTCTCTGTAAAAAATCAATAAAATATATATTTTTTAAAAAAGTTAAATGGACATACCCTTTGGCTCGGCAAGTACACCTCAAGGATTTACACCTCAAATTTCTTTTTCCACTTAAGTGGCAAAATTGAGGATAATGTTTAATACAGCAAAATTTGTGATACTGGGAACACCTTAAATGTCCATTAGCAAAGGACTAAGGCTCGCCACTGTAAAACATTGTGCAGCTGTTTAAGAAATGAGACTTATCTATCTATGTTTTTTAACAATATCAAAAAAGTATGTCAAATGAAAAAAAAGTGCAAAGCAGCATGGTTAGTATGGGCCAAATTACACAGAAGTGCTCAAGTTTCTATAGAATATTTCTAGAAGGATACTTAACTGATTTTGGATTATAAATTTCAGCCACTAAGGCTTTCCCCATTTATAAGCCAAAACAAAGCCAAAGTCAGAATGGACCAGGTCCTCTTCCATTCTTTTGTCATTTCTAGACTTAGGGCCACCAGGTTGGCAGCTTCCGGAAATGTGTGCAGTCTATCTCCAGGCCCATGTGCCAGTCACGAGGGACTTTGCAGCGGCTGGCTCTAGCCTAGGACTGGCATACCAGGTAGCGCCAGGAGTAGAAGTAGTGGGTAATCCCTTGATGTCAGGGGACAGACGGCATTGCCATGCCCACGCTTTGGAAAAGGCCCTCATTCCTGTTCTCTCTCTCTCTCTTTTTAATATATATTTTTATTGATTTCAGAGAGGAAGGGAGAGAGATAGAAACACCAATGATGAGATAGAATCAGTGATCAGCTGCCTCCTGCACATCCTACACTGGACATGTGCCCTTGACGGGAAACAAACCTGGGACCCTTCAGTCCACAGGCCGATGCTCTTTCCACTGAGCCAAACCAGCTAAGACCTCATTCCTGTTCTTCATAGCATACCAAGGGGGCATGTGGCAACAGCAGGGGCCAGGGTGTCATGACTGCAGGAAGAGAGTACTAGTTTGACCAAGGACACTCACTGCCCACCCCATACCCAGAGCAAGACAAGCACTGACCCCAGGTCTCCTGCCTGTTCAGGCTGGAGCTAAAGTCTGAAAGACGGGGTCCAAGAAAGAAACAAACTAAATGGGGTTGGAACAGGGGGACTTTGGTTACTACTGACTTGATTTGTGACCTTGGGCAAGATGATTTATCTTGGGAGTTGGGGAGGCATCTTTTAGACATTGGTACAAAGATACCATATATATTAATCAACAGGTATATTTGGGCATTTATCTACAATGAAGAAAAAAGTGGATCTGGGCCTAGACAACCCACTGATCCCTTGGTTCCCCTTCTCTGACACTCCAGGCATCCCATAACCAGGCCTGCTTCCCGAGGACTCAAACAAGCTGACTTAAAAAAAAATTAACAGCTATATTAAGATGTAATTCATATACATACAATTAACCCATCTGAAGTGTATAATTTTATGGTCTTTAGTACTTTCACAGGGTTATGCAACCATCACAATCTAATTTTAGAATATTTTTATCCCCCTAAAAGAAATTCCATGCCCATTCT